GCTGAGAAGAACATCTCAGTAGAATATATCTTTTCTTTTATAGACTGAATTTCGGATTTGAGACTTACATGTGAAAGTGTTGAATTTGCCTTGTCCAAGAAGCCAGGCAAGCCTCCAATCAAATCTGCAATCTGTATAAATTTGTAGGGTCAGAAGTAACCAGGAAAATATATCAATGCACCTGTTTTCATCTTGATTTATCCATAACTGAATAATGAACATTTTGAATGTTTTTCTATGTCTGTGATTTTTAAAAAGAGACTGTGTCACAAACACTATGGAAATTCTTAAGAAGGATGTGCATTTATCTTGTAAAAAAAAGTAAAAGGAATGGAAGGGACTTGAGTCCCTGCTTTGCCTTGCAGGGGTTTGTAGAAATTGAAAAGCTGTTCAACTCTTCTCACGTTTTGTTTCTTCTTCTGAAGTATGGAAATATTAGCTCCATCATCTAATCCCAAGGTATTTGAGAATATCGAATTGAATCTTGATTAGAAATTTATTAAAATCTGGAGGGCATATAACACCATTAATGAAAAAGAAAAGAAATAGAGATAAGTAAATGGGACCAAGTCTAACAGAACAATCATAAAAATGCACCAAGAGAATAGGTGTAAAAATCACACCAGAAGGAACAATTTTCATGAGTGAGGGGACTTGGACTCCAGTGATCATTCTTATGGTTTGCTGGCATTAGGCACCCAGGCTGATTAACTATTAGCTATATTGACCAAAGGGTGAATCAGCATTCACCATTTTATCTCTCTCTCTTGATCCTCTGCACTTCCTGATCAGGGAATATGTTTTTTTATGTCATCGTGGCCCTTAGAATTAGCACACAACCTGATATACTGTAAGCACTTAGTACTTGGAGGAGAATGAGTGTTGGATGATATACTGAAAAAAATTCCAGCACTTTATGAGGCTTATTAACTGATGTTATTTTATGTAACTTTTATATGTAGTAATATTTTTTCTTTTCATTCCTTTTCCTTTCTCTTTTTATTTCTTTCTTTCAAATGAGGAGAGGAATTTGATTATGAACATTATGGATCTAGTTCTCATCATTTGGCTGGGATTCAGAAAAATAAAGTATTAGCCAAATTTTCACTAGCTAATCGTATGTTTCTCTCCCAAGACCATGCTTTTTACCTGCCATGTTACCTGTGAATGATGAACTCAATAATTATCAGTTCATTCATGAATACACCAATATAATGAGTAACTTTTTGTGCTCAGGACTGGGGTACAAAGTTTAGATTATATATAAAAGATTTGGGGAATATTTTTTGGCGATCAAGAGCTCAGAGTTGGGACTTTCATGGCAGTCCAGTGGTTATAATTTCACATTTTAGCGGAGCGGGTTTGATCCCTGGTCAGGGAGCTATGATTCCACATGCCACATGGCCAAAAAACCAGAACAGAAGCAATAGAAGCAACATTGTAACAAATTCAGTAAAGGCTTTAAAAATGATCCACAGTAACAAAAATCTTAAAAAAAAGAACTTGGGCTTTGATTCAAAATGATATGACTTCAAATACCAACTCTGCTAACTCGCTAGTTTTATGGACCTCCGTGTATAACTCTTTGTCAGTAAGCTTCAGTTCCCCCCTAGGTGAAAAGGGGATAATATCTCACATAGCTGGGTGATAAATCAATGGAGGTATAGCATGCATGTGGTGCCCTGAAAACAGAAAGTGCTCTGCAGTTTCTATCATAGTTTAATCCATTATTTAAGTTTGTCTACTTATACAGAATTGATGCTCTATCTGGGAGATGAAGTTTAAATTGTTGTTGTTGTTCAGTTGCTCAGTTGTGTCCAACTCTTTTCAGCCCCATGGATTGCAGCACACCAGGCTTCCCTATCCTTCACTGGCTCCCAGAATTTGCTCTAACTCATGTCCATTGAGTTGGTGATGCCATCCAACCATCTCGTCCTCTGTCATCCCTTCTCTTCCTGACTTCAATCTTCCCCAGTATCAGGGTCTTTTCTAATCAGTCAGCTCTTTGCATCAGGTGGCCAAAGTAATGGAGCTTTAACTTCAGCATTAGTCCTTCCAATGAAAATTCAGCGTTGATTTCCTTTAGGATTGACTGGTTTGATCTCCTTGCTGTCTAAGGGACCTCAAGAGTCTTCTCCAACACCACAGTTCAAAAGCCTCAATTCTTTGACACTCATCCTTATTTATGATCCAACTCTCACGTCCATACATGCTTAAATTAAGATGAGCCAAATAATTAAGAGTAACAAAGTGATGAATGGTGCCCTGTAGATTATAACAGAAAGGCTGTGTCTAGAGAGAAGGAGTTTTAGAAGACTTCATGGAAGTTTTGAAATTCATGTTATTCTTTGAAGAATAAATCAGCCTTGTACTGAGGGTACAGGGCATCTTGTGCACTTTTCAATTATATCCTGAACACCCAATGTGGTGGTCCAACCCATAGAAAGACTGCTAAAAAAGTCTATACATGATTCAAAGGTGTTTTATAATTCTTATCTTAACGTTAATGTTATCTCACGAACGTGCCTGAAATTATTTTTCTCCTCCTTAGGAAAATGCCGGATCGAGACTCACTCCTTCACTTTGTTGAGAAAAGGGATGGTGAAAAATAAAATGAAATGCTTCCGGTGCACTTCCCCTATTCCTCAATGTAGGGATATCTTTGCGTTGATTAAGGTAAGGTAGAAACCGGGTGTCTTCTCAGGATGGTGGTGCCTCCCAGTGGCCTCCCCACCACCAATAGCAGGAGCAAAGGGGGGGTGAGGCGCTGCAGGCTCTGTCTAGACCGTCGCCCTCACGTCCCACCCCACAGCCTCATGGCCTGGTTCCCCCTCTGTGCTGAGACCGAAGGACTTGTCTCACGATTCTCTTTGTTACTGTGTCACTCACCACGAAGCCGAGGACTCTCAGGTCAGCCCTCAACCCCGTTACATAACAGTTGCATCTCTTCATATCCCTTTTCCTAAGCCCAGCAGCCATGCCTGCCCAACTCCCGATCATTCTACTCTTCCTCCTGGAATTTACAGTCAGTCGTCAGCATAACCAGCACACACTCCACTTCTCCTCTGGAAGTTCCCCACTTGTCCAGCTGAAGCCTGTGTCTTGAGACAGCCGTCTCTGTGACGGCAATTTTCTCTTCCACTTTCCTCTTAACGCTGTATTGTTTAATGTTCTTGACTTTATAACATTATCATACTCCCTGATTTTTGTGCTCCAAAGTCTTTCTTTCAGTGGTCTTATTTAATTTTGTGGATTTAATATGATATGAGAAGATTAAATCACTAGCAAGTTGCCAATATAGTTTGAATTAATAAACTCTGATGCAACAAGTCCAACTGTTTACATAACTCTTCTAAGTCAGATGGCCAGAAGGACTCACAGACTCACCATGACTGTTCTGATATTGTCACTCTGACTATTTCTTGAACATCTGCTTCTTCTACACCATTCTTTTGTTATTATACAAAAAATGGAGTCATTATTGCTCCTTCTTTCCCTAATGCCTACATTCAACATACCATGAAATCCAATCAGTTCTACTTTTGAAATATATCTATAATTGCTTAACTTCTCACTACCTCCCTCAGTATCATCCTGTTCTAAGCCATCATTAACTGTTGTATAGATTAATAAGCTTAATGCAAAGAAAATGGAAATGGGTGACATCATAGTAATCCAGATTTCATTCTTCCATGGAAGCTTTCTTTAACCTCACTTACATTTTGGGTCCCTAGATAGAATCTGTCACTATCTTCTAACAGGAAGAATATCTACATTAATTGAATTCTGTTAAATATCAGGCAATAATGTTAGACCCATTTTACAGATGGAGAACCCGAACCTCAGACACTCTAGTTAATACACAAGATGACTCAGAAAATACTTGGCATAGCTGGACTGTGCAAAACTTGAATAAAATAAGATTATTGTTTGAAAAATTAGAGGAGGGTAAGGACAGAACATGAGAGTGAAAAGGTTTTGGCAAAGAAGCAAATGCATGAGGGAGCATATAGGATGCTTCCTTTTAGAGTTATCTGGAATTCCTCTACTACAACATCCACCCTTCTAATCAATGCATAGACCAATAACTCTGTCCTAGCCATAACGTGTAAAACCCTGCAATGCCAGTTTCCACCATCACTCCAGTTTGATACTGAGTTCGAGGGAAGACTGATGACCTAGTGATAGTGAACAATACCCAAAGTCAGTCATCTAGCCCAAGGTGGAGCTAGAATTTGCATTTAAATGTCTTAGTCTGGACTCACACTTGTTAACTTTTATTCTCTGGATTTTTTATTCCTTGAATGGGCATTTCTACAGTATTGAACTTTGGGGAAATTATTCATTCTATGTATTCTATTATCTTGTGAGACTATTAAAGCTAGAACTTGATATATTAAAATTTGTATTGCTAGAATATAGCACTGCTCATGATACAGCAGTGGTAATCACAATGAAGCAAATTAAATTACAGTAAGCTATTTTATTGCATGAATATGCATATAATATGAATATGTCTGTGTTTGAAAACTCTGAATTGGGAGGCTAACAAATCTCATTTTTAAATTTATTTATTGTTCTTTTATTAGTTTTTTGCCCACGCTGTGCAGCATGTGACATCTTAGTTCGCAACCAGGGATCAAACCCATGCCCCCTACATTGGAAGCACAGAGGTTTCACCACTGAACCACCAGGGATCTCATTTTTAACAAATCTCTGCAATGATCTTGTATAAGTCTCCTTCCATTTCTGTACTTCAGTTTCAATTATTTATGAGGATAGAGGTACTGGGTTATATTACCATCCAAATTCTTTAAACTAGAACATTTTACATTTCTAATATTATTTAAAAATTACTTTTGTTGTTATGCCTATATTTAGTTTAGAAAATTCAGATACAAGGTATAACTTGAACATAATTACAGTTCTAAGCTCAGGTACCACCCAGATCCTCTTTTCTCATTGATACAGTGCATTTTCATAATGCATAAATAACCCCCATGGAGAACAGTACAGAGGTGACTGAGTTCATTCTTGCCGGGATAACTGATGACCCACAACTGCAGATCCCACTCTTTCTAGTGTTCACGCTCATCTGCCTCCTCACTCTGGCTGGGAACCTGGGGGTGGTCACGCTGATCGTGCTGGACGCTCGTCTCCACACCCCCATGTACTTCGTCCTCAGCCACCTCGCTCTGGCGGACTTCGGTTACTCCACAGCCGTCACTCCCAAAGTGATGGCAGGATTCCTCATCGGAGACAAGGTCATTTCCTACAGTGCTTGTGCCGCTCAGTTTTTCTTCTTTGCAGTCTTTCTCATTATGGAAACTTTTCTCTTGTCCTCAATGGCCTATGACCGTCATGCAGCGGTGTGTAAACCACTCCATTACACCAACATCATGACACCAAGGGTGTGTGCCCGGATGGTCGTAGGATGCTATGTTCTTAGTTTTCTGGAGACTTCTGTGCATACATGGAACGCGTTCAGTCTCTCTTTCTGCAGATCCGATGTGGTTGATCACTTTTTCTGTGATGCTACTCCCGTCCTGGCTCTCTCATGCTCAGACAGCAACAGAAGCGAGATGGTGTTTTTTGTTTTGGTGAGCTTCAATGTCATTTTTACTATCATGGTCATCCTGATCTCTTACCTGTTTATCTTTGTCACCATTCTGAGGGCGCGCTCATCTGAAGGACGCCAGAAGGCCTTTTCCACCTGTGCTTCCCACCCCACTTCCGTCTCCATCTTCTATGGGGCAGGCGCCTTCATGTACCTACAGCCCAGCTCCCGCCATTCCATGCGCACAGACAAAATGGCGTCCGTGTTCTACGCCGTGGTCATCCCCAGGCTGAGTCCGCCGATCTACAGCCTGAGGAACAGAGAGGTCAAGAGGGCATTAACACAGGCTGTGGGGAAGGCAAAATCCTCGCTAAGATTCATATCTTAATTATATAGAAACAACAGTAGTGTGGTTTCATATACCTGAAATCAAGCTAGGGAAAATACTGACTTGGTAGGTCAATAATTATGTAATTTTTTTACATCATTCCTCAACTTTTAAGTCTAGGAAACAAACGTGTTGACAAAATGTGATCTCAGGAATAATGACTTTGGAGGAATCAAGCATGAAACTATAATTCATATTTTTGAAATTCTTTTAAATTATATTTTATTGTATATTTGTTCCGTGATCAATCATACTTTCATATGGACATTTATGCTCACATGCATATTTAAGTACGTGCCCCCTGCACCTTATTTTCATGCAACTTACATGTAAGTCACATACCCATGGGTGGAGAGAAAAATGACTTCAAAAGTCAAATGGGATTGGTCTGTTTTTAGACTGCAATTTGAACCAGTGGTTTTGGTGTCTGATGATACATTCTAAATATAATTTTATATATTTTAAGATAGAAATAGTCATTTTGTATGTATTTTTATTAAAAAAGAACTCTATATTTGAAATTATTTCATTTAAATACTTAATACTCCTGCCAAACATCATCACTATAGGTTTATTACTGAGTGTTTTCGTTTTTTTTTTTAATTTTTTTATCGACAATAAACATCATTAAATGGGCATCTTTACTTATCTCAATTTTCATCTTTATCCGCTCATTACCCAGAGTAATATCTTCATGAGACAATTTTAACAGAAAAAGGCATAACAGAATATAAAGGGAATTTAATGAAAGCATAATTTAAAGCATGATATAAAAATAACAACATTTAGTTTTATAGCCAGGCTTAACTCTTTGTCTATAGATGCTCAGTTAAGGACACATTTTATGTTCCTTCCTTTCCAGTTACAGCCGGGTTGCCAACTGATAGATCACCATTCAGGCTCAAATTAGAGGTTGGGCTGACTGGTCCTTACCAGTCTCTACCAGTCTCTAGAATAAGCTAGTCTGGCTTTTAAATGTGGGTATATTAGAAAAGTAAGACTCATTCAGAGATATGATAATAATTGCTTATAAACATATCTCTTAAAACTAAAATAGTACCAATTTAGTCTAATGAGAATGTCTTTGAATGATCAATTCTCTATATACTTGTTTTTCTGCAATTATTTCTTTCTAGGTTAAATAATTTAGAACACATGTAGAAAATATATAAGAATGTAAATTTGTTTTTGAAACCATGGACCCATATGTGGGAAGTGATATTTTGAATGGGATGTTTTGAATCTAGCACTGAGGGCTCCTGTGGTTTGACTTGAAGAGCCAGCACATCCTTTTATGGGATAACAGAGAGTGGCTCAGTGGTAAAGAATCTGCCTGCCAATGCATGAGCTGCAGGAGCCATGGGTTTGATCTTTGGGTTGGGAAGATCCCCTGGAAGGGGAAATGGCAGCCCATTCTAGTATTAATCCTAGGATAATCCAATGGGCAGAGGAGCCTGGTGGGTTACAATCCATGGATCGCAGAGTCAGACATAACTGAGCGATTGCTCACAACAATGAAATGGAGATAGTTAAAATGTATATCCTTCAGAACCAAGTGAAAGATCACAGCAACAGATTATCTCTCCTGATAGGAAAGATTTTTCCTTTTGGAGAAAAGGAACCAGGTTCTTCATTTTCTATGAATTATCCTTATAAAATGCTAAAACCTCCCTGGAGTATTTCAAGTGTGAAGAATCATTTTGGCTACATATTTTGCAGATCCCAGTGTAAAAACAAAATTGCTGAGCCCCTTGTTAAAAATGTATAGCAATTTTAAGTTAGCAAGAGCAGAGTGTTAAACCCAGTGCAGAAGCTTCTAAGCACAAGGTCTTCATGGCTACATGGGATTCATGCTCATGAAGCCATCCCTGAACACTCTGCCTCCTCTTATATATAATCTTTTACAAATTATTTTATTGGTTATAAAGTTCAAGTTTTTCCATAACATCTTAAGGAAATGAACTTTTTGGCTAACCCAAATACAAAACCTTGATTTCTAAAGTATCATCCATATTTTATGTCATAATGAAAATGCAAAGTAAAGCAACAATGGAAGAATACTGCACGTCTTTTAGAATGGCCAAAGTCCAGAACACTGACAGCATCAAGTGCTACTAAGAATGTAGGGCAATAAGAACCCTTATGCATTGCCAGTAGGAACGCAAAATAGTACCATCTCTTTGGAATACAGTTTGTCAGTTTCTTACAAAACTAAACACACTTTTACTATATAATTTAGCACTTGTTTTACTTGATATTTACCCAAATAAGTTGAAAACTTAAAAGTAGCTCACAAAAAGTAGCTCAAGAGTATTTATAGCAACTTTATTCATTATTAAGAAAACATGGAAGCAATTGATATGTCCTTCAATAAAGGGATGGATTAATATTGTGCAATTCAAACAATAGAATATAATTCAGTGTTAGAAAAATGAGCTACCAAGCCATGAAAAGACATGAAAAATATTTAAATTCATATTTCTAAGTAAAGATACCAATGTGAATCAACTTCCAACTGTCTGGTTTTGCTATTAACATTCTGGAAAAGGCAAAACTATGGTGATAGTAAAAAAAAAAGTCTGTTTGTTATGAGTTCGGGCTTTGGAAAGGATGACTAGATGGATCACAGAGGATTTTTAGTTTAGTGAAAATACTTAGTATGTTACTATACTGAAGGATAATACCATCATATATTTGTCCAAATCTGTAGAATATCCAACACTAAAAGTGAACCCTAATGTAAACTGTTACCTTTATATGGTTATGAGGTGTCAATGTATGCTCATTCTTGGGGAAGAAAAATAGCATTCTAGTGAGTGATGTTGCTAGTTGGGAGGCTATAAACGTGGGGCGACATGGGGCATATCTTAGAAATGATCATAAAATTTACAAAACTTAATTGAGATTGATCAAGAAAAAAGAGAGAAGTCTCAAATAACTTAACAGAAATAAGAATGTTTAAAAGTAAGAGCAGTTATATGGTTACAATTAGTTGACAGATCCAATTTCTATAAAAGACACAAACAAACACTATAGATTCAAGGAAAAAAAATTTTTTTTTTATGCTAAGTAAAAAATTAGGTTAATAATGATTAAAACTCTACCCAGAGAAAAAATTTTATGTTCAAGTGGCTTCACTGGTGAATTGTCCTAAACCTTTAGAGAAGAATTAATAACACAATATTGCACAGAATATGCAATAGGGAGAAACACATTTTTGTTTTGTGTATCCCTTACCTGCTTATTGTGGATGTAGATAATTTTATTACTTTTGTCTGTTAGCCTTCCTATTAACTTTATAAGTGGTTGATTTTCTACCTTTTTTTTTTTTTTTGTATAATTGCCTTTGCCAGTGAGATTTCTGCTTTCAGAATATTCTATTTGTGGTTGTGGCCTATTCCTTCCCACTTAGAGGAGTCTCATTTACATTTCTTGTAAAGCTAGTTTGGTGGTCCTGGACTCTTTTAGAGTTTGCTAATCTGTAAAACTTTTGATTTTTCCTTCAAATCTGAATGATAGCCCTTCTAGGTAGAGTATTCTTGGTTTTCCCCTTTCATCACTTTAAATGTACCATGCCACCTTCTTCTGGCCTGCAGAGTTTCTGCTGAAGGTTAGATGGTATCCTTCTGGTAGCTCCTTTGTACCTGATTTCTTTCTTTCCCCTTGTTTCTTTTAATGTTCTCTCTTTAATTTTTGCCTTTTTAATTACAAGGTGTCTTGGTGTGGACTTCTTGGAGTAGATCCTGTTTGGGATTCTCTGTGTTTCCTGGACTCGGCTATCTGTTTCCTTTCCCAGGTTAGAGAAGTTTTCAGCTTTATGTCTTAAAATATGTTCTCTTCCCTTTTCTCTCTGTCTTTTCTTCCTGGAACCCCTATCACAAGAATGTTAATTTCCTTGATGTTCCCCGGTCTTGGAAAGTGGCTTTATGTAGGAGACATCCTACATGTCCCAGCAGGACACTCCCCTCTGCTCCCCAGTGCTCTGTGCTCCAGGGGAGCCCCCTGTATGGGTGGTGGGGTCATTTGCTGCAGCAGGATGACGTCTTTGGGTGTGTGGATAGGTGTGACTGGCCTCTGGTCTGGCTGGTCACTGGGCCTGGCCTTGTGCAAAGGCTGTCAGCTGCTGGTTGGAAGGA